GACAGGGTATCATAGTGCCAAAAGCATTCTCATTGAATTAATTATTGTGAAATGAAAATTTTGGCTATTTTGAACTTGCATTATTATGCCGTCGTAAAGGAAGCATTGAATGCTCAGTACAAATAACAGCTCATCACTCTATAGTCAACATGCAGACATATTAGATACTAAATCCTCTTTTTTTTATAGTATATAACTTAAAAGATCCACAAATTAGAGTCTTTCTTGTCAGTGCTGGATAGTTAGCTAGTACATGTGTAGTGGTTGCTCCATCATTTTTAATGTGTGTAAAAATACTGGCCATACAGTAATGAGTGTCTTGGCTTCATGCCTGTACTTTCCACACTGGCTATTTCATATCAAATATTTGAGTAAGATTAGGTGGCAAACTGCCAGAGGAAATCATTCACAATATGTGTGTGTCTGTGGGGGTTTATTTTGATAAACTTTAAGGACCAATTTGTCCCAAGACATTAGCTAAATCTGACACAACCTCCCTATGGGCACATTCAGGGACGTGCTCATTTGTAAAAACAATTAATAAAGCAAGTTTTTATTTTTAATGCTAAGTTTATTTTGGGTTTATATGTAGGTTAGTTTATAGTAGTTAGGATTAGCTATATAAAAACAACTGTGTGCAGTAATACATAGCTAACAAATGGTTTTTATATTAAAAAGGCCAATAAGAAATATCTGACCATTACATTTTTATCCAGTTCAAGTTCAGAGAGACCCTTGATACGAAAAGAATGATTAAAAGGCGCATATGGTCCATGTTCATAATTTATATTAACCTCCCTGTTTTACAATGCAAATGTGCATGCAATCTAGAACAACGTCAACTGTGGCCAATTCTACTCCGGATCACCTTATCAACAACGGTAAAACTAGCTAAACAGCTTAAGATCGTCCACGTCATATTAATCAGAGCTTGATTAGCCCTGTGCTAAGAGAAGGCAGGGGATCCTTTAAGGAAGATTAATGTGTTTTAGAGTGCAACTGAGGCAACCTTAATGCGATTGCTATCTCTTTAATGAAGAAATGGTGTAATCAGAGGGAGAAAGCCAGGGAACTAGAGAGAGAAAGGGGGAAAGAGAGAGCATCTGCTCTTCTTAGGCATTAAAGCTCAGATGAATTAGTCCATGGCGCATGAGGACAGCTTGGCGCTAATAGCACGTAAAATATACAGTCAAAAAGTAATCCTAAGCATTCTAAGTATAGAATGTGATGAATAGTTCAGCCATTCATTATGCCTGACCTCATCTGCTCTCATGTTAACTGTCCACTCTCAAGACTTCAGCGCTACAGCTACCCATAATGACTAGGCTTGAGGCCTGTATGACCAAGCAAAATGCCAAATTTGAGCTTGTGCTTGCAAATGACCTTAGATGGATGAAGATAGAGGAAGGGAAAAAAAGGGCTGTGGAACAAAGGCCATAGAGTGAGCAGCTCAAAGATTATTACATGGTACATTGAAGCATGTGATTGTGTGCAGCTGAGAGGCTGCGGAAGAAAGCACTGGTCATTTTCACTGGGTCATCTGGGACACCAGGTCAGCCAGTGGGGAATTCCATGAGGCTGCAACATGACCTCAGGAGAGAACGTGTGCATGTGTGCTTGTGTATATATGGAGGTTAAAGTCAGTGCTTGGGGGCATGACTGAGAACCGCTGTGTGTGTCATGGGAAACAAAGGCTAGGAGGGACAGAAATATACACAGAGAGAGAGAAAGAAAGAGTGACAGATATAGAGCTGACTTTTCAACACAACAAAAATAAGTACTCCTTCAGCCAAAGCAAAGAAATGTAAAATGATTTTTTTTTTTTTTTTAAATGTGACAGCTCAGCACACTGCTAAAAGAGAAAGAGAGAAAGAAGAACTGGAATGAGAATAGTTGAGTAAAAACAAAAGAGAAAAACAGCATGCCGTGGCCTTGAGATTATCTAGAGTTTGGACAGCTTGGTCACTCTGTTTCCAAAACCTTGTAAACTGCCTCACTCCCAGCTGCCAACACAGGCATCTGTTTTTTAAAGTAACTTAGCAACATACTAATGCTAAACACTTTTAAAATTATTACACTTTAATTTTAAAGGGATAGTTCACCCAAAAATGAAAATTCTGTCATTAATAACTCACCCACATGTCGTTCCAAACCTGTAAGACACAAATTAAGATATTTTTGATGAAATCCGAGAGCTTTCTGACCCTCCATAGACGGCAACGGAACTACCACGGTCAAGGCCCAGAAAGGTAGTAAGGATATCGGTAAAATAGTCTATGTGACATCAGTGGTTCAACCTTAACTTTATGACGCTATGAGAAAACTTTTTGTGTGCAAAGAAAACAAAAATATCAACTTTACTCAATTTATTCTTTTCTGTGTCAGAATTTGACGCACATTCATGAAGTCCCTGACAGTGACAGAAATACCATAAGAGTGGCTGTGACCTTTCCTAAACTGTATTCGTCATACCCGTCTCCTTGCTTACTTGTATTTGCCCACTTTCCTTTTTGTTTCCTCTCTCTCTTTCTCTTTAGAGCCCATGCTAACAGCCACAGTGAATCCATCAGCATTTGACAAGTGCAGTCATCCAAGAGAGAGGAGCCTGATGTGGCCCCCAAAAGATTGCTCTTTAAACGCAATGTTTTGCCAACAAACTTTACCAAGCTGGAACATATTAGGGCCAAACTAGAGAGCTGGAGGCACAGGAGGGGTCAGTTGTTTGCTAAAGCACTCTAGGTACATTACTGGCTGCCTCCAAAAAGGAAGCCATACATAAGCTGATGGGTTATCGTGCGAATGGATGCATTCTAACCTATTTTTTGCTCTAGTTGTTCTTTTGTGTTTTATATGAATCACATTTTTGGCTGTGAAGAGGTTCACTCTGCTCGTAGGCCACCCATCCAGGCTCCTTTGCCCTCTGACCCCAGTTAATGTAGCCTTTAGTGAAAGAGATGATGAAACCATTAGAAAAGAGAGCCTGTGCTCACAGTCTCTGCAGATTCTGAGTTAATTTATCCACACAAATTCACGAGGATGCTCGAGGGCTAGTAGTACTATGCATGTAAAATATGCAAGTGGAATAAACATTTTTCTATTGTTCAAAATTATTATATTTTTAAACTGAAAGTTAATACGCTACCATTCAAAAGGTGTCAATAAAATTTTGTTTTGAAAGAAATTCATAATTTTATTTATCAAGAAAACATTAAATTGATCATAAGTGACAGTAAAGAGATTTTTAAGGTTACAAAAGTTTTCAATTAAAGAAAATGCTTTTCTTTAGAACTTTCTATTCACCAGAGGACCCTGAAAAAATATATCACTGTTTCCAGAAAATACTAAGCAGCAAATGTGTTATCAACAATGATAAATAATATAGAACATTTTTAGGCACCAAATTAGCATATCCGAATGGAGTAATGGCTGCTCAAAATTCAGATTTGCCATCAAATGAATGAATTACATTTGAAAATATAATAAAATAAAATAAACAGTTAATTAAATTGTAATATTTTACAGTATTACTTGTTTTATTTTTATATTTTAAATAAACAATTATGTTAATAAATGCAGCCTTGGTGATCATAAGACATTTCTTTCAAAAACATAAAAAAATAACAGTAACAGTAGTGTATATGACAGCCAATCGAATTAAATAACTGAATATAGTTTAGGGGTAAATGTTTCTGACCATGACTGTTAGTTCTAAGTAAGGCTCAAGCTTGCCACTGGAATCATTACCCCTAGTCTTACTTTGGGGCTAAGGTTATGACCCCACAGCAGCAAGAGAAGGTCACACCAGAACCCATAAATCTATGTATGTGTCCATGGGTGGTGCATTTATAAGCTCTAAGTTCTAGTCTGTTACTTCACCCCAAACTGAGCCTCTGTATCAGAGACTGCGTTGCCCAACGTTTCCAGTTACCTTTTAAAATGAATTTTGACCAACTTAAATGCTGAGCTCTGTCTCTGAGAGAGAAAAATTGGGTACAAACAAATTTACGTTACACTGTGAATTAAAGTATTTGTCAGCTTTGTTGTGAACCCATATTTTTATCCATGCTTGCTGATTTACAAACCCAAAAATGCTGTACTGCAAATTCCGAAATTAATGTACATCATTCATAATTGCTCAAGTTTGCCCAAAGTGAGTTGCTTAAGTGCATCAAAATGGAAACCATAAATTCTCCACTGTATTGTGCTGAACTGATATAATTCACATTTAATGCACTCCTTTATTATAAAAAGCTGAGGCTAATGTTAACCTCCTAGGACTGCCTGGGACTCCAGACATCTAATAGACCTATATTCATTTATATTATATTGCAGAAGTTCAATGACTGAAACTCAATGTTTGGATTCTAAATAATGAAAGTAGAGAATGTCGAGCCAAAAGATCCATAACAACCGAGTTTCATCAGGCCTGCATCAATGCAAGTACCTATAGATGCAAGTATCGTGAACTATTACTCATTATTTTAGCCCTCACAAGTGTAAGGCATTTGCGAACATTTTTAAAACCTGAATGAATTAATAATAATTAATTCCCTTACAAATGAGTTAATTTCATTACACAAGCTTACCATGAAAATGTATTAAGTCCTCATCAACCAACCACTTTTATCAACCTCTCTTCCTTACACACACACATTTAGGCCTACACCCACAGAAGACACTACTTTCACATCTACTTCTAGAAATGTCCTTCCTCAAAGACATCGAAGCATAACTTGTTTGGACAAAATCAAAAATCTATAGATAATTATGATAATTCTTTATAATTAACCACCCTAGCTATCAGTGCCAATAAAGCAAAAATGAATGGAATATAAAAACCCACTGGTTTCTTTAAAAGGAAGCATTGGGTGATGCAGTAAGCTTACAATCATAGTCCCAAAAATGTGTTATTAAAAATACAAAGTACACAAATAAAAAATCATCCAAGAAGATAAACCTATAGAAGATTAATAAAATGATGAGAACATCTGATATCCTACCTGGAGCAGCTTGTATCTCCACTAGGCCTCCAACCATGATAAGTGCCTCAATAATCTTTACATGATGTTCTGGGTTTACATCCGCACTGGAGCGAGAGAAAGACATTTTAAGAGTGAGTATATATATATATATGGATGGACCTAGCTGGACCTAAACAAAAGCTCTAATAACTGTTACTCATGAAACATGGAAAGTTCAGACAAAAAAAGTCAAACTTACTCTCACACACAACCCACATCAAGAATTAAAGGGGTCATATGATGCGATTTCAATTTTTCCTTTCTCTATATATATATATTGTGATGTAGCCAGTCTAAAAAGATAATGACATTTAACTCAAGCCCAAATTATAGTTGTTTATTTTGTTACATAATTTGACATTATTAAATTATCTTAGCCTCTTATTCTGCATATATACTAAAAATATATTTATATTGAAACTAATAATTACAAAATAAATGTCAAGTAACACATTGCATGAAACATGACATTTTTAAGTAGAAAGTCTGAAATAGTATTTTATTTTCTTGTAAATTTACTTCATGAATGGTTTTATTTACAAATTTGAAAAAAAAAAATTAGTGTACACTACGATTATTTTTTTCAGCAAGGATACATTAAATTTATTCAAAAACTGACAAAAGACATATATCCTGTTGCAAAAGATTTCTATTTCACATAAATGCTGTTCTTATGAGCATTCTATTCACCATAGAATCCTTTAAAAATGTTTCACGGTTTCCACAAGAAAGCCGGTTTCAACATTTATTATAATATGCCATGTAACACTGAAGACTGGATTTATGGCTGCTGAAAATTCAGTTTTGACATCACAGGAATAAATCAGATTAAAAATATATATTAAAATAGAAAACAGTTCTTTTAATTTGTAGTACTTTTTCACAATATTACTGTTTTACTGCATTTTTGATCAAATAAATAGGTATTCGGCCAAGCAAAATGCACTGGATGGCTGGCCAATCACAGCACACCTCGCTTTTTCAGACCGATGAGCTTTGTAAAAATCGACGCGTTTCAGAAAGGCGGGGCATAGAGGAGAAACAATAATGTACAGTATGTGGAAAATAATGTGTTTTTTGAACCTTAAACCACAAACACATTTCATTACACCAAATACACAAAATAATGTTCTTTTTAGCAGCATCATACGACCCCTTTAAGTCGGTCATAATACACACAGGTCTTGTCATGAGTTGCACCGGCTGATCTACTTGGTGAACTGTTGACTGCTTGTTTACGGTCAAAACTCGATTGGATTTTTAGAGGCGAATGTTCATTTGCTTATGTATTCAGCTGTAATTCAGGTCCTGTGATGCCTCAATGACCTCAGGTAGTGTGTGAAGCTGATGACTAACCAGAAATGACTGCTTCTGGCATAATGCGCTCCCTCTCCCTCCTTTCCCTCTCTTTCTTTCTTTCTCTGCCTGAACTGCCCCAGAGCCATAAGACAATTGACAGGCCGCTAAGAGCAGGGAAAGTCCCACTGGAGACTCTTGGCAGAGGGACAGAAAAGCAGCTCACAATCGAATAAGAGCGAGGCGACTTAATGGACTACAATGTGCTGATTGAGTTTGCAGTGACTGACTTGCACACTACTCTTTATTATGTGCACTAAAGTCCTTCATTCAGGAGGGCGCTTTATAGAAAGTGTGATGTCACCATCTATTTAACTGTAATGAGATATAAATCTAAAAAATGCCAAACTAGCCAAAAAGTACTATGGTACATATTATTTGGATTTTTTTGTTTTGTTTTAAAATGTAATTTATTCCTGTAATTGCAAAGTTGAATTTTCAGAAGCCATTACTCAATTCATCAGTGTTATATAATCCTTCAGAAATCATGCTGATTTCATGCTCAATAAATATTTCTTATTATTCATTTGAGAGTAACTATGAGGTGCCTCTAAAACCTCTTTTCCACAGTCAAGAACCACAGGGATCACAATGATCCATTTAAACATTTGTAAAAAAAAAAAAAAAAACTAAGGAAAAAAAAAAGGAAAACATTTTTTTTCCATAGTTAATAAAGGTGCAACAATAATATGATCATGTACTATAGTCTGATACAGAGGTCTGGTACATAATAACAGTCAGGTTACATAAATAGTGAGTTATCAACATTCACTCCTGGTACTCTTCAAATGGCAAGTACAAGGGATTGTAACAGTGCAACACATTTTAATAAGCATTCCCATCTGTTGTATGTTATGTGCTGTTCCTCTCAGGAGATTGTACTGGAGCTGCAGCCATTAAGGGCTGTCTTACAGTGGGCTGAGGGACAGATCAGGAATAACAGCTCCCTCATCTCTTTCTGCTCCACTTTAATTAAACTAGGGGAATAAAGATAGGCTTCGACATATGTTCCACTGAGTTTTCTGCTGAAACAAAGAACATGGATGCACATGCATGTTTTTTTCCGCAAGAGCAACCACAAGATTGAACATTGTAACACTGAAGACTGGATTTATGGCTGCTGAAAATTCAGTTTTGACATCACAGGAATAAATCAGATTAAAAATATATATTAAAATAGAAAACAGTTCTTTTAATTTGTAGTACTTTTTCACAATATTACTGTTTTACTGCATTTTTGATCAAATAAATGCAGGCTTGGTAAGTATAAAAGACTTCAAAAACCTTAAAAATCTTTCTGGCCCCATTTTGAATGGTAATGTAGCTTGAAGACTGTCGATTTCAGTTGACAACAAGTTATTTACAGTACCTGAAGTGGTTGTTTTTGAAGATGGCCTCGCTGTAGGCCAGAGCCAGAAGCCTAGGGCTTGCCTGAGCTGCTCCCCCACTTTGGGCCACCTTACTTAGGTGTCGGGTCAGATGAACCAGGAGCTGGTGGTTAGCCTGAGGGACACTGGGAGAGTCAAGGATTCTTTTCAGCTGCTGTCCACACTCCTCCATGCCTTGGGTTTCTAAAAGAGACAGAGAGAGACTGTTGGCAGCACAAAAACACAAACAGCTTCAAGCCCATATTGACTATCCTGATCTATGAAGGGAAATGGGAGCAGACAGAGAATAATATACATACAAAAGCAAATTGGACACTGGAATTCATCTATTATTAAATATGAAAATATATGTGATTTGATTTGAATGTTAAAGTTAATCTAAATAGAATACACTCATACTTTTGAATGGCTGTCAATAGATAAGATGCATTTAGCAGCCAGATGATGCAGTAGCATCTACCAGCAGGGACTAAAAGCGAAACATCCACCCTGTGGTTCTAATAATATAGATGTAACTCATCTGAACTCAGACAGCAGCATTGAACATTGGGGCACATTACAAAACCCATGACCTGGGACTGGAAAGTCAGCTCAGCAGGAGTTAAAGTGCTAGCCTAAAATTGCCATCGAGTCCATTGTCTATGAGCACCCACAAGGACAATGCAGTTATTGCGACAGCTTCCAACATATTGATGAGCTCCTTTGAGATGGGGTTTCCCACAGCAAGAAGGCCAGCATCTGTGATTCAGGCTTATTTAAGCTAAAGTGTACCCTGGTGGCACAGCTAAGATATGTGCATTTCATCCCTAAGTCCCCTACACACAATGAATATTTGTCTTCATCAGCCAGAGGAACACGGATACAGTCTGGATATCAATGCGGGACATCATCCAGTCTGGAAAGTACAGAACGAGGGGGAATTCACTAAGCATGAACTGCTGATACTGCTGTTTATTCACTATGTATGCCTGGTTATTATTTTTGCGCTGATTATTAATTGTCTCTGTTTTCCGTCTGTCTGACGCGCGTGCACGCGCTGGCACTCATTCAGTAAAGATTAAAATTTAACAAACTGTCAGGACGGACCTTTATGCAAAAATGGAAATGCTCGCGTGAATTTGTGACATTTATACATAAGGATATGACCGTTAACTGAAAGTTTTTTTGCGCTGAGGACGCACACGCATCTGTTAAAGCGCCTGACAGGGCAAGCCATTACGCTAATGCATTAGCTTAAAGCTTAAAATAAAGAATTCTCATGTTTTGGGCAGCTTGGATCACGTAACTCTCCTGCAGCATCTCATTCTGTTTCCTCCACTATTTTAGATGCATTTTGTCCATAGAAATAAGTAATTCAGTGCTTTAATTTGACGCGACCGGCTGAAGTTGGACAAGTATGTAAACTCCGTTGGACGTGCACTGTGGGCAGACCCGATTAATCGATAATGAGAATCGTTGTCGATGATTTTCATAATCGATTTGATCGATTAGTTGTTGCAGCCCTACTGGTTATAACTCTTGTCACCATCATTTGAGGAATTAACGGTCACTATAATTGATAAAAAAAAGTACACAAACACCTCTTTTAAACAAAATGTTCTACATGCTTTTCCACATGCAATGTTCTAGGACTTCAAAAATGAAGGAATTTAATTCATACAGACATAATACATACAATGTCGAAAATTATGAGTGCACACACACACACACACACACACACACACACACACACAAAATATATATGTATAATTTATTAATTATAAATTAAGAATATATGTTTAAATAAATAAACAAACAAACATGAATGAATACATTTAATTTATTGAGAGAAGATACATGCAATGTCTGCAATTATTATATGCAAAAAGTATAGATTATTCATATTAAATATCTATAATAAATGTATAATATAATATATACATAATGCAGTATATGTTTAAATAAATAAATACATAACACAAATCAAGGTCTTATAAATATATTTAAAACATTATATTTATGAGACCTCATACATAAGCCAAATGTAGCCATTATATTATATTATATTATATTATATAAAAATAAATTCATTTATTCATCTTTTTGTTTTTGTGTTGGTTGTTGAAAATTAAAAAAGTGTCATGCAACAAATCACAGCTAGTGAAAAATAATATTAAAATAAATTGTATAGTAAGCTTTCTTCATCATTTGATAAAATGTTTAACACGTACACATTATTTTCTCATTTCCCTTTCATTTTTGTTCATTTGAATGTTTCTAATAGTCATAATTCAGTGTCAATGGTGTCAGCTTGCAAACAGGCCAGTCCTGCAATACACTCAGTAAATCTTACCTGCCACAACACTTTCAATGTAAGTAAAGATTACTGCCTAAAAGCGTTAGGCAGTAACGCTTACTGCATTTCCTGCATGAATTATGAGCATGAACAAAGCCATTAAGGTGTTGGCTGGTTAAGGCGCTTCACCCATAGTGCTTATAGAAGATAAGTGCTAAGAGGTCAAAGGTTATGAGCAGTGGGTGGCAGGGGGTCGAATGATGAATGTCTGACAAACTGCCGATCAGAAAATGGGTCACTACTCTGACCTTGGCCTGAGACTCACTGACCATTGATACAAGAGGGTTTCTATCTATAAGTTCTATGCATACACTCAGTAATACATGCACAGACACACACACAGACACCCATGCCCCCAGTCTGGAGCCGGACAGTCCCACCAACCACTGCCTCGTGGAGATTACCGATAGAGACTGACCCCTGTTCAATAAAGGCCAGCGTCATAGGCTGCAGGCCACGGCTGGGAACTTGGCCGAGTCCATCTGGACTCAGCACGACACAACCGGGGGAAGGGGAGCCCTGCAGACGGCCAATCGCATTCCTGGAAGAGGGCATACTGGCTCCTGGCCAGCCAGATGGGCACCGGTGCTCAAGGCTTGAGAGTTACCACTGAGTAATGCTCTTAAAATGAGACTTAGACACTCAATGGGACTCAAAACTTCTACCAGAAAAAGAACTTTTTGCACTTTGCTTCCACTAAATAAAATTGTCATGCTTTGGGAAGCAATACATTGTCAAGCTGATTTGTGTTAGATTAAAGCTTGAAATGAATTTGATTGTTCTACCCTTAAGTCATGCATCATAAAACTCCTGGAGTTTTGGATAACATGATATTTAAAAAAAATTGATTTAATAGTTTGAATTGGTGTATTGATTAAATTAAGCATATCAAACAAAAGCATGCTTGATTTCACAATTAAATGGATTTTATCCAGGGAAGAGGGAGGTAGAGTTTGGCATTGTTAAGGGCACCCCATGACAAAGGGACTTTCCAGGAAAGCTTACTTGCTATAATAGCCCATTGATTCTTTAAGAACGGTTAATGCACAAATGCTAAACATGCCATATGGCAAATCCTACAGTGACTTTGCACTTGAAGACTCACTGACCCAATATATCAATATTTCATTTGAAATTTTGCAGTTCGTTTATGTAACTTATATACTGTAGCAGTGCCAGCAGAACTGAGGTTGGAAAATTAAATTATTTGGTATAAGCCAATCAATCAAATATGTTCCTATTGCAGAGATCACTAAATGAAACTAATTAACTGCAATTAGACTTGCCACTCTATGGGACCAATCATGCAAATCAATCAAGACAATGAATGAGTATATTGCAGATTGAAGATATGTACAATCGACAATATGTTTAGTCAAAAAGAAGATCAAGCCTTGAAATTTTAAAATTGAAAGTAAATAAATCAATCATAAAAAACTGCCAAAATGTTATCTTAGGCTGGCCACACACTAGACGATTTTCAAATCTTAAAAATACACCAAATAACGTTCTTTTTAGCAACGTCATATGACCCCTTTAACTGATTTTAAAACCATGGGACACCGCAGACATGAAGACAGTTTCAACCAATTTTTAGCCTTATAATCCTCTGAACGCGCACACTAGATGATTTGACCAGACTGCGAGACCCCACACTTGTTGACTGTAGGAACGATTTCACAGTGACACGAGATCTCACGGAGACTCGTGAGATCAAACATGATTAGAGAAGGAAAACAAACGGAGAACAATCGACGTTGTCAGTTAGCTCTCCTTGCATGCGTTCTGTTTCACAGTGAAAAACTAAGTATAAAAAAGGAATATGGGTGATGTTCTTTCTCAGTACTCTGCATTCGTGGCATGTTTGTGAAAGCCAAGTTTCAGCTATAGAAGCACGCAAAATCTGGTAGGAGACGCTTGCTCGCTCTCATTGGATATCACGTCAGAGGCCGCCCGATCAAGAGTTGTAGATATCAAACATGTTTGACATTTACGATTTGAGTTCAGGGACGCTCGGTCTCGATTGGGAGCTGTTAAATAATCACAATGACACCAAACAATAGAGGATTTTTTGGACAAAAAGTCGTTTGCAACAAACCGCGAATCGGGCCACACCCCCTGATCGTTCAGCGGTGCAAATCGGGCTAATCGGCCTTAAAATCCTATAGTGTGTGGCCAGCCTTAGTATGTATTTTTGTCGTTTTCAGTAAAAAATATCTAAATGCCTTCAAAACAAGATACATTTAGTTGAGATTTGAAAATTAGATGTATTACATACAAAGTTCATGCCTAAAACATGAAGTTGTCAGTAAGTTATGAAAAATACATTTATTTCAAGAAATATTCTCATAAACAGCATATTTTTTTGCATCTGAAGCATTTTTTTTGCATCTTATCCTTAAATACTATTCAACCAGTATATTTAAGGATACAAGTCGTCTTAAGACAGCAATAATTTTCAGTCTTCAGAAACATGATGCGGCAATACTCAGCGAGGGTCCTTACATAATTCTGTTTGTCCTTACAGTCAGGCAACACTTATGAGCAACCAGGCATGTCTAAAAGATGGGGCAGACTCTGTGTATGCTTGTTTCATTTTCAGTGGGTGTAATGCAGAGCGAGGTCAGAGAGAGATGGTGTGAACCTACCCTCCGGCATAGTAGCGCCCCCACTAATACACACACACACACACACTCTCTGCCTCTTTCTATAACACTACTTCTGTTCTCGGCCTCTCTCAAGCCTCTTTCTGCCCACTGAACATTTTGAGCATTTATATGTTGAAGAGGACAAACACACCCACCTATTTTAGTTGTGCATTTTAACCAAGGGGAATTTAAACCTTTAAATTCTGACATAATTTACTTGCTCGTATGTAGTTTCAAGCCTTTATGACTTGTTTGAAGAATTGTACTGGATGGTAATTATAAACAATGGAGACAGGTTTTCAAGCTTCAAAAATCATTAAAAAGCTTCAAAAGGTATCATAAAAGTAATATCTTTCATTATTCACTACAAAATGTACTTCCATCATATATTTACTGCACCTTTATATAGACTTTTTCAAAGTTAGAGTTCATGGGAGATCAGTGTTGACTAATTTAGAAACAAATCCACTCAACACTGATCCATTATCACTCCAATTTCAGTTCATTGACTGCTGAGCTCCAGAGGACAGCTTACCCTGAGCAGTGTAGACCAGCTCACTGTACACTACAGCTGGGATGAGCAGGCAGGGCAAGTCCTGAATGTAACTCTTAAGTGTATCAGCCAATGTGGACAGTTCATATTGCTCAAAGTCCACCGCTGCTGGGTCTGAGGGAGAGAGAGAGAAAGAGAGAGAATGGTTAATTATAGACACACAAAGTGCTTTCTCCATTATTTACCCTTCCAAACCATGTGCCCTTGGCGAAACCCTATAACGATTCACTTACAGTGGTGGTCAGATCCCCTGACCATTTCTGCCCCCTCTGGGGACAATGATCCAGTCACAAGCTTAACAAAGAGAGTAAGTCTCCCGGTCAATAACTCAAAGCCTCGGATAATGGCAGCTTGATAGACGGCAATTATACAGTAGTAATTTTAAAAGGCCCTTCATTGTGCTAAAATTATAATGGCATATTGATGTATTGGAAAGGTGTAAAAGGCGCTGACAGATCTCTCACATATTTCAGATCACAGCTTTTTCATTTATGCTTTAAGTATAATTGCAGATATATAAATATTTTTTACTGTACAATCCACAATGCCTGCAGAATGTCGGACAGTGAAAACAAGTTTTTAGGAAGTGAATAATGTAGGAAAAAATTTAGACAATCAGAAGCGTGTGAGTAATTTTGACACGTTCATTGCACGTTTTGGACATCTGGATAGTAACTATAAGTCTCTAGTTGCTGAGACTTCAGCTTAAAAAAACTCATTCATGAATCATTCATAATTCATCTCTCTCCTTTCTGTACTTAAAGGAAGTAAATGGGTAGTGTAGGTAAAATAAGGACAGTGTTTTAACAGGAAAAAAAAAAAGATTTTTACAAGATCTGTTGAAAAAATATATGCATAGCCAGATCGTGTTACACAGTTTTTGTTTAATTCATGTTATTTATTTATTTATGTACTGCTTTTAATTAATGGCTGTATTCAAAGTTTGCTTGGGTTCAATAAAAAAAAAAAAAAAAAAGAAGTATATTATTATTAATACATATTTTAAGATAGGAGAGTTTAGGATATTGTTGTGTTGTGTAATGGTATTCACATTAGTTACACATTCTGACTAGCAAGTTCAAGTCCACCTGCAAATGTAAGTTGTTATATTCATAAATAATTTAATTCACTGGTATTCAGCACTGAATTATTTGAATAATTTAAATAAAAAGAAATAAATAAACTTCTGTCATGACAACTCTCGGAGGGATTGGCATGGTAAAGTACATGACAATGTTAATGTATTTGGTCTTGGCGGAATAGATCTGCTACGCTGCTGCTGCGGCAGAGCAAGTACCGAGACTTGCTACTGCCAATACATCCACAACATGCTGCTGTAAGCGTGTATGGAACCGACATATACAAGAAGCCACCAATATATAAACAAGGTATGAAACATCAACACTGCTCTTGAGTTTAAATCAAATTCAGTGTAAATGGTGTAATTCTGGAGAATTCAGATGTGTCTGTGTATTTGAATGGATGTAGATGTCTCAGCAGCCGCTCCACACAGTAAACACATGGAGGATTTAATCATTGAGTCTTCAAAGTTTCCCGCCGCACAACCTCCAGACCCCAACCAGCCCTCTAAGATAGAGATGGACTACTGGCCCTGCCCTCCCTCACTAGCTGTTATAGGTATTGCACTCTCACGTTATCCACATGATCACAACCTGCTGTAAACAATCTGCTACATGCATTCTGTCATTGGATTGATAGTTCTGTCATGACAACTCTCTGAGGGATTGGCATGGTAATGTACATGACAGTGTTAATGTATTTGGTCTTGGCGGAATAGATCTGCTACGCTGCTGCTGCTGCTGCCAATACATCCACAACATGCTGCTGTGAGCATGTAAGAAATACTGATGCTGCACATATAACATGAATAACCCCCATAGCATTCATGATCACCCCATAGCAGATCTATACAGGTGGAGCTGGGGAAGGTGGAGGGTTTCTGAAGCAAGCTGCAACTTCTACGGCAAGCACTAGTCATATATTTGAATGTTGAGCAACGAGCTCATTGGCTACCGATACAGGAGAGAACCAATCAGCTGTGCCCTGTGATAATGATGTCATTAGGTCAGATTGAGTTAGACCTATCGGACTGCGCCATCTAGAGTTTCATGCCAGAACTCTGTATATCTTTGCCAATTCTAATGAGATTAACACTGGAGTTGGCCAGTTGTACACCAACAGGAAAGCTCTGAAACAAAAAGAGGTCAAGTGTCATTTGAAAACCTGAGGAGGTGCTTGAATCCATTCACCTCTCCTCACCTCCAACATCCTATGCCATTTTAGTATAAGAAAAGTGACTGACCCCCACGGCTAAATTGTAATTGCATTGATCGTCCCTCTGACTAATTGTAAAATAAAGTTTCCCTGTGATCAGGTTCTAGTGAAATCAAACATCTATTAAGCTTTGCTAATGACCTTCTCTCTCCAAATGTGATTAGTTTGTTGACTTGCCGTTATGCCTGCATCCAATGCAAATCTTCAGGATATTCTAGGTATTCCAGATGAACCAGATACGTAATAAAAACTGCTTGGGAGGGACTTACAATGGCAGAAGGTGAAACCATAAATAGACCATAAATTACCCATTAAGCCCATATCAGAGTAACAGGGAAAAAAAACAAAAACAAATGTTAAACATCAAAAATAAATGGAATATTATTTGTTGAGTCTTTTTCATGAACATACTTTGGTGTAGTATGGAGTAAGGATAGTGAATTTAAAATTTTAAACAATTAAAAACAAAAATTAGGACAGAAAAACAAAGAAGAAAGATTAAAGATTGTGCAGTGTTTATAGGTTACTAATAAAATGAAGTGGAATCAGGAAAAAACGCAAGGTCTTTAGAGAATTCTATAGAACACTATAGGGCTTTTTAGTTTTAGTTAAACTTAAGGGTCAGGACACTGTACAAAACGCAAGGCCCAAGCACAATGTATAGATAGAAAAACTATGGCATGTATAGATAGAAAAACAATGGAAAATCAGTGCAGTGGAAAGCAAAACATTTTCTTTGTGAACGGACTCTAAGAGCTTTGGAACTCTAATATAAAAGTAGGCAAAACATAAAATTTTCCTTAGAATTGTCAAAAGACATTCTGAACCATTTGTCTCGCCATCATGTTGATTGCACTTCTAAAAATGTGCAATTTATCAAGCCTCTACAGACATAGTGTTCTTCTACATTAAACTCACGTGGCTAACAAAGTGCGCTGAGCTAATATCAGGCTAGATTAGTGCAGGGATTTTCCATAACCCAAGTCCCCCTCTATCACAGAGGAACAGTCATGCGAGAAACTACCACCTATTGATCACAGTTTCTCGATGAATCTCATTTACTGGTCGCGATGTCCATCCCGAGCTTCCACATGTATTTCGTATTTTTCTAATCACCCTCCCAGTGGATGCCCATCTGCTGATCTTTAATTTCTTGCCTGCCAGTGGCCCAAATCGATTGTTTCCCCCTGCTTGGCTTGATCCATATATTGTTGGAGTGTGCTTTTAAATGCCCAGCTTGTAAAGTGTCTAATCCACTACAAACAGATTTGTTTAGGTCATCAAGAAGCTTTTGCCCCATCCCTATCTCTCCACCAACCCTCATGTTCATCCATTTACATGCCTATCAATTAAACTCATTGTCAAATTCAGCCCTCCGATCTGTCTAGCCTAAAACTATTGATCCACCAGGCCTTTGTTTATTGTGCCTGGCACCTTCTGTTGGCCACTGGGACACATAATCAGCTATGATCATTTGGGGCTTTACCCCACTCTCCACAGTGACCCTATAGTACCTGCTTAAAATGTGTGAAGAGACGTCACATAGCGAAGGACCAAAAGGTTGTGATAATAGCCTGAAAACCTTCAGACTGGTTTTAGAGGTTAGTGCTGTAAGTTAAAAGCATTGAAACAAGTCATCACCATGATCCTTTGTGTAAAGGTCACCACTGGCTCTGGATAAGGCTGCCTCAGCTGGTCATTATCTGCTGTTAAAATTTTACAGATGGCTTAGTCGCTGTGGAAGAGCTGACCTACAAAATCTCACATAGGCTGTGGAGGAAAATAAAGGTGTAAATTATAGTGGTTCAAAAGAACGAATTCGACATCATATGCTTGTATTAAATTGTGTTGGAAATGTAACCTTCTGGCCTTGCTGGGAGCAAGACTAGTTATAAAAAAAATATTTTGTGCAAAAACAGTGAAAGGAAGAGAAATGGAGAGATGGACATGAAATCAAAACTGTTTTTTGAAACTAAATGGTGGACCGTTTAAAGTCTACAGTTATTTGTGGACACATTACTAAAGGTGTTTTTTAATATATTTTATACACAATAAAAAGGAATAAATATTTGAAAAGCCTTAAAAACTTAATAATGAATAATAATAAATAAATAAATATAAAAATAATAAAAATTTGTTAACAAACATAACTGCATCACATGTAGATCACTTAACAGATATTGCATTCAGCAACCAGAAATTGCCACTTGGTTCATTTGAGGTCCATTCAAGCTGGTCTATTGAAGGAGAAAAAGGGGGAAAAAGGAAAATGTCAAATGATCTAATTATTTTCAGTGAAGTTTTCACATCAAATCTAATAATGAAGATTAAAGCTAATGGAATGGTACTGATAAAATGGTCCGAAAAACGTGGATAGGTGAGACAGTGGTGCCTTTTCTGCCTAAGGGAATTAGATTCACCATAATTCCATTTGCCACATTATCTCATCTTTCACTCAGCTGCGCCATGCAGGCAACCCAGCTCGCTCACAATGGTAAAAGCTGTAACTGTGTGCATAAAAAAGGAACAGTTGTCAAAAAGTCATGGGCCTCTAAATCAAAAAGCACTCCTAAGTACATTAACTCCATGGAGAATAGAGATGGAATTAGTTTGTGCTTGCTCTGTAGATCTTAACAATTCCTTCTAGTCAGGGGAAGGAAAGATTCTTTTATTTATTTTTTATTTTTTTGCTTTATATTTGCCAGTTGTCTTAGAGATGTCTGCTGACATTCATTTGAGTCACATAGAACTGCAAGCTGGACTGCAGTTTGCAAATCTGACTGAGTTTTGCAAGGACACGGAACTATAGCTCAAGGTTC